CCTTCCTATTGCTGTTGGTCTTTATGGCTTCTGCTATTCTGGACACGCTGTCTTCCCCAATATTTATAGTTCAATGGCAAAACCAAGTCAATTTCCGGCAGTCCTCTTAACATGGTAATGCAAAATGCTGAACTATGATTAGCTATTTATATAGATGCATATGACCTTTATTATGCAGTGGATGAATAAGAAGTTTCATGCTCTCCCGTGAATAAAACCATTTCACATTATTATGCAGTTTCATTGTTTGTACTTTGATGTATGCGGGAGTTGCTTTCATGGGATATGCAATGTTCGGAGAATCCACGATGTCACAGTTCACTCTTAACTTGCCAAAGAACTTGGTTGCATCAAAAATCGCCGTCTGGACTACGGTAAATTCTTTACACTTTTGATACCCACAGCTTTGTAATCCATGTTATGAACTTGAACATTAGCATTTCATGAGATTTGTTATTTGTTACTGCTTACTCTGTAGCAGTGGCTAATGATACTTCGTCTCTGATTTTGTTCTTTGCAGGTGGTTAACCCATTTACCAAATATCCTTTTATCATTCATGTAGAACGTAATGCACTATATTCCAGTTTCAGTATAATTATGGACTGATGTAGACCAATTTCTTGGGATGGATTTTGAAAAATATCTGAAACAGCAAAAAGATAAAATAAGTTGTAACTCTCCCGAACACCCTTTGTTCGACACATGAGTCACTTTTGACTACACATTCGAGGCTCACAACGTTTTTGTTCGATATTTGAAGATTCTATTAACATGGCTAAGTGAAGGGCATGACTCTTGACACCATGTTAGGAACCATGACTCTCCACAATGGTATGCTATTATTTACTTTGAGCATAAACTCTCGTGATTTTGTTTTTGCTTTTTTCCAATAGGCTTCATACCAAGGGAGGTGTATTCCTTATAAATCCATAATCATCTCCTCAATTAGCCTCAATTAGCCAATGTAAGACTCCCTCCCAACAATCCTCAATAGGTCCTTTCTGTGAAATCTTTTATCTCTCTGTTATATGAGCAACAACGATTTTTCTTAATGAAATCTACATATGCTTTGACGGTGACTCCAATTGCAATGAGTCTGGAGGAGCTGATACCATCAAATCATCCCCAGTTTTTAATATTCTCAATCCTTATTAGAACAGCTCTTGTCATCTCCACCTTGCTCGTGGGTCTCAGCGTTCCTTTCTTTGGTAAGTAATTACTAGAGATTTCTTACTGACAATATCTATAGGTTTGAAGAGAAGCGTCATACTAAACATTGTTAATCATCTGTGGCAGGTCTGGTTATGTCGCTCATCGGCTCACTTCTGACCATGTTTATTGTAAGCTTTTCTGCAATGCGTGAGTTTGTTAACCAAGCTGTTCTTGTTTATAACTTCGTTTAAAACTTCACATTCGCAGAGTTTAATACTTCCATGTGCTTGTTTCCTGAGCATCCTCAAAGGGAAAGTAACTCGTCTACAGGTAATGTTTTTCTTTTGTCGCTGTACTGATATATACTGTGTGTGAAAATTTATCTATTCCTGATGATAGCATTTTGAGTGTTTTTTTAGTGAAATTTTGATCACAAACACGGCAAAAGTACAAAAAATATTTTGAAGAAATAAATTTATGTATAATCCTTGCAAACAAGAATCATAAATTTTATTATGAAAAAAAAAAAAAACTGAAAAAACTATTAAAAAAATTAAGAAAGAAAAAGAATAAATAAGACTTTGTCACGTAGTTAGATGACTAGATCATTGTTGTAAAGCCCTAAATCCACCGTTATCAAATATTGTCCTCTTTAGGTTTTTCCCTTCGGACCTCCCCCAAAGCTTTAAAACGCTAGGAGAAAGTTTCCACAAAACTTGTTTTATAAAGCTTATTACCTAGTCGGAGGAAACCGTGTGAGGCTGGTTTCACATAGCAGCGTAACCTTCCGCTCCTATCGGTGAAAGGATAGCGAGTTGGATCTCCAGGACCCTGAAGAGGGGTGAATTGTGATATACCACATTGATTGGGGAGGAGAACAAAACATCATTTATAATAGTGTGGAAACCTTTCCCTAGTAGACCTGTTTTAAAGCCTTAAGAGGAAGTCTGAAAGGGAAGCCCAAAGAGGATAATATCGGCTAGCGGTAGATCTGGGTCGTTACATTGGTACAACCTATGCATCGACTTTCGTTGTACTATAAATTTGATGTTTCTTAATATAACCACGTAAATAAAATAAATAAAAAAAATACCTATTTTTTACCGTTCAATTTAGTGGTTCAACCATAATTTGTCACGTGACCATTTGTTTATTTAAATTTTAGAACATTTTTCTTTTGTATTGTTGGAATGATCTACAGAAGAATGTTTGGAGCCACATTGTTAGAAAATAACATATATTTTTGTGCAGGGAATAGTATGTGGCATAATCATAATAATAGGGCTTATAGCAGCAGCCTTTGGAACCTATTCTTCCGTCTTAAAAATCGCCCAGAATTTGAGTTCCTGAGAAATTTGGATTGGCATTATTTCTGCATCAAAATATGGTAATTTTATCCACTAGCCTGCATTATTTATATTTATTGTTCTTCCTTCCCAGCTTTTTTTTTTTTTTTTTTTTTTTTTTTTTTTTTTTTTTTTTTTTTTTTT